GCTGCTCCGCGGCGCCCAGATCCCCAGGGGCGGGCGGGAGCCCTTTGATAGGTGCCACGGCTCTTGTAAATGTCTTTGTACCCCTCTTCCGATTACCAATAATTATTTTTGTTTCCTATTGGGTTAAGAATTAAAAGAAACGATTTTATTTTATATTAAGAGAAATTTATAGGGCAAATTATGCAGTCTTGTTCCCTTGTGAATGGATCGAAGGTTTCCACTCTTTGCAAATGTTTGAATTAAGCATTTCACCCATCTTTTGTTTTTGTTTAATCCCTGTCGAGTCACTGAGGTGAGTGCTTTTTAATTCGGGCAGCATTTAGCACTGAGAAAGGCACTTTCCAGTATTGTACTTCTAATTGCTGGAGATGTATTTTTTTTAAATATTAGAAGATTGAAATTAATTATTGTGGGGAATTAAAACTGAATTCACATGAGAATTCAAGGAGCTGATTTTAAACAAGCAGTAGCAGGGTTGCAGTGCGATGTTGTTTGCTCAGACCCGTTATGTTGTGAAGAATGAATGAGAACATTTTGTACTGGGGTTTTCTCCTGTGCCATTTTGGTAGCTAGTGAGAATTATGCTCTAGGAAATTGTTACTTTAGGGGTTACACTGAGCACAACCAGCTCCCTCCCTCAAGGAGCCCTCAAAAACAAAACAAAAGACAATCAATCCCCTTCAATTCTGTTTATTCAGATCATATTATTCTTGTAACTTGGACTTCAACATAATACAGCATATTGCACTTACCGGAGAGCAGCACAAGAGAGAAAAAAAAGGTACAATACTTCAGTTTATTCCCAGGGAAGAATGAAATGAGACAGCTGTTGCTCTTCTTAAATATAGGAAACCAACTGAAAGTCTGAGTATATGTACACAAGATTTACTAAGTCCCTGAATACACAATTTGAAATTATACACATACTTTTTTGCTTTTCTTGTAATTTTTACAGAGATATACAGTATGTCACACACAGTTTCAGTTTGAGAACACTCTGCACAATTATACCGCAGCTATAAAGCTGTTGGGTTTTTTGTTTTCTTTTTGGCATTGTTTTGAAAGATCCCCTCAGATTCTGCTAATGATTACTCCAATATTTTTTCAGCATTATCTCCCATTTCCTACCCCCTCCACTTTGCTGGAATGCTGAGGGAAATACCGATTCAAAGTAAGTCTAGAAGAAAGCCGTTACATCATGACAAAGGTTAAACTGTAGATATTGCACGTCAGTACAGAAACATAATGCAGTAACATTTTCCTCCCCCCGCTTTGCCTCTCTCCCACAGGTCTCTCCTTGCTCCTGGGTCTGGGCTGCATGGGGGAACCTAACTGTACTCATAGTCAGATGAGTCCTCCTCAGACACCCCTTTCAGGTCTCTGTGGTAAGAGCCCATGCCATTCTCATCCATCTCGCCCGCTGGCTGGAGGCTTTTGCCCATGCCTTTGCGCTCCTCCATTTTGATGGTGTCGTAGAGTCCCTTAGGTCCTTCTTCAAGGAGGATGTTCCTCTCTGAGTGAGAGGGTTTCATTTGGCAGACATTTTTGAGGAGGAGAAGGACAGGGGCATAAAGCACGTTGGCAAGCCCCATGCCCAGGTTGAGCTGCGCAAAGCCCATGGTGTGCACAATCTGGCCAGCCACGATGGGCCCCAGGGCATATGCCACACAATAGGAGATGTCTGCAATGGCATAGACGCTGCCATAGACTGAGACGTGGCGCACGTCCACCAGGAAAGCCAGGGTGGGCAGCAGGGCTGTGTCCACCAGGGCGATGCCAAAGCAGATGCCACAGAGGGGAATGATGACCTGCCCGAAATTCCTGCAGGCGGGCACCAGGCAGGAGCTGGCACCGATGATGGCCATGCCCAGGGCCCCGTAAAACCACTGCAGGTGTGGGTAGGCAGCAGCCAGCTGGACGGTGACGTAGACACCCAGCACGTGGGGGAAGAAGGCGGGCAGCCAGGTGAGGCCCACCTCCCACTCGCTGGCCCCCATGGAATCCTTCATCCAGTTGGCGATGGTGGGCTCCAGGAAGGCCAGCGGGATGTTGCAGGTGGCCAGGGCCCCTGCCACCACGGCAATGTAGGGGTCAATCATGAGGCGGTGTATCGGGGTGCCCACTGGCATGTTGGCCCGTGCCCCGGTGCCACCGGGCGGCGCCAGG